GAGCTACTTGCGATGAAGTATGCAGCTGTCAAGTTCAGGGTCCACCTTCTCGTCTCCAAGCCATTTGTGTTCTATACAGATCATGCATTATTACACTCTGCGACTCAGTCGCCCCACCTCTCGCAGGGGATGGCTAGATGGCTATCCTTCTTTGCGGAATATAAATTCGAGGTGAAGTATAAGCCGGCAAAGCAGAATGCTTCGACTGATGCGTTGTCACACAGACCAGACTATGAACTTGCTCATGTATCAACTGTTACGTCGTCTGTGACGGATTTGATCCGCACCGCGTATACGGGTGATGGAATGTGTGTAGCGTTGTTACGGGCAGTAGGGAGCAAGGAGTTTGAAAACTCGGACAAGAAATTGTCATCAAAATGGCGTGCACCATTGCACCCATATTCGTTGAATAACGGTTTGCTATATTATAGGAGCAACTCAAACAGATAAACTACGAATTGTGGTTCATCATGATGAGGATTCAAAATATCGCTTTTACTATGAGGCTCACGACACGCCACTCAGTGGTCATCTCGGTCGTGAGTAAATGTACAAGTATACATCTTTTCGGCAAACCATTTGTAGACTATACATATCGTTTGTCGCTGCCCACAGTGGCATCGTCACCACCCTCTTTCAAAGAGATGGCTATTTATCGTCTCCGAGTATACGTTTGTGACAAAGTGCAAGCCTGGCTAAAATGTTGTAGTTACGCGCGTGCCGCACAGATGTTAAATTGTCTCGCGTTGTCACGCATCGTGGATGCCGTCACGGGAATCACCCGTCTGTTTACACACACTTTTTGAAAAAGGCTTGAGTCAAATGACACGCCTCACCGCGTGTAGCACGCTTTCAGCGGGCCGTTGACGTACGTGAAGATTAGAAAAGGTGAAGTGACATTGCTAATAGGCTTTTAACCTCTAACATGATAAGTACTTCTAGTTCTGATCCAACATAACTAAAAGAGGGGTATACAACAATATAGGGTGAACAGTTAATGTCAGACACATGAAATATGTGGTCCACAGAACATGCGTGATGACCTGCCCCATTCCATCCCCCAACTCAAAAGTGGGTTTACCCAACTTCTTCAAATTTAACCTTGACTCTTCTCACCCTTCGTATCGCTCTGTCCAAGTCTCAGTAGATGACAGCCCACACGCTTCTCCACATGAGATCTTTGTCACCATCGAACTTGGAACATGTTCCAATATCACGTCATTCAGCGCATTGCGCAATCGCGAACTTGTTCGTCACGATGATTGCTACGATAGGCATGGTGGGTCTACCCTAGAGTTCGACGAACTCTTTCGTCGAGTAAGTGCTCGACTGATGACTCGAGTTGCGTAGTTTTACGCCATTGGGCCGATTATTTGTGTTGAAGGCAAACCACGAAACCTCACGTTTGTTCCATACGTCCAGCAATTCAATCTGAATTCCATCCAGACAATCGACACTCGATTCTGGGCATGGATTTATGCGACAAATTCCTTGGACATCCACCGTTTTCAAAGCGTGAGCACTGCTGACTTGTTGAAGTACGCGATATACGCTTTCGATTTGCGTATTTGACAGCGCAAAATCGGGCCCTCTCCGATGCCAAGGATGCTCGTGAAGCGCGCGCGGTCATCAGTCGACCACACGACGAGAGGGACGCAAGGCAGAGCTTCCCTAAGCGGGGTCCGTCTTCGGACCCATATCAGACGCGCGAACGATACTGCGACAGTCGCGACGAATACGAGTACGAGGCTCCCACGTATTATCGCTCGCTGGATACACCAGGCATTTCATCAAGATCTCCTTCCAACCGCGGACATTCCTCTTCGCCACGCTTCCACTCATTAAGTCCGATAGGCCTCTACCAACTTTACTTCAACATTTATGAATAATTTGTATAATCCCCGAATGCACATGACACCGCCACTGGGCGGATTATTGGTTGATTTGACTTGCTCATTCAGGCTCGGCTAAACTTTGTAACAACACCAGTGATTTTGTCGCAATGAGATTAAGCTTCATGCGCAGAGTCGTGAAGCTATTGACTGAGGATCAAGACGAACAAAATCAACATGCCGATGGTAGAGGCAAACGCATACACGCGAATATGTCGCGGACAAAAAATATCTTATTTGTAAAGCAAAAACGAGCCTATATACGTCATGTCTGGACAAAGGCTTGACATCGCATAATTGAACCCGTTTACAGTCGTAGCAAAATTATAATACTATCATTCCGAGGAAAATGCAAACACATCATGTGCCGTATATGTGCATGACGAGCTGTATCTTGGTATCACCATTACGAGCCTGTAGGATAGCGCTTTTTGGAAGACGACGGAGCGTATGTACCTTCTGCTGTATCTGAGCTTCTCTCTGCTCTAGATCTGAACTGCTGGAAGTATCACACATCATACGTTGCCATGGCGGAAAAAGCGCATATGGAAAGTGACCGAGCCGCACGTGGAGAATGAAGAGAGAGTCGCCATGCCGCTACACCTGTAAGAGCCCATCATCCTGACCGATATCCAAGAACTGATCAACTACTACGCGGAGAATTCCGTGTTCATCATATCTGCTACAAGAATCTGGTGGAGTGAAAGGGGTACCCTCAATTCGAAAGCTCGCGTGATGATGGTTTCCTGGTTCGGAACGTTTCAGTAGATGCTGCTTATGACTGGGCAATTCCCAGTTTTATCTCACTTGAAGAAGGGGCGGAGATCTTTGTCCCAGCGTGCTCAGCCCTTGTGAGCCGAAGTCCACCTTGTTACGACGTCAATACTTGATCAGTAGGTGTAATAGCTGTCTTATCAAAATAAGCAGGTCTGTGAGCGGCAAGAGCTGGGGCGATTGGTTGTTTTAATACTTCGAAAAGTCAAGTATGGGTCTACGCTTTATTTCAACGTCAGCTTTGTTGAAGCTGATTTGAAAGATCTTTTGGCATATGAGCCAACGTATATTCCCCACCGATCGCGCAAGCTGAGTTTGATATCCATCGGCAGTCCGCCAGCTTCAAGTACACAAAATACGTTCCTTATGGAGGATACGGGGCTCCTTAAAGCGCTGCTGTACTCCTGGGTGCTGCTTACGTGAAAGTTAAAAAGCGCTTGCAGAGTCACTTTCTCGTGGTGCTTTTGCTTTTTGTATGAGCAGAAGGCTCGCATGCGAGGCTCGACCACAGTGCAATGGGCAGCATCAGTCGATACCGAATCGCGATCGTACTGTGATAACGTTGGCAAGTGGCTTCTTCGCTATGGTCGAGCAAGCTGAGCTTCCTGATCAAGGTTCAGCTCGTCGGTGATCAGCTGGCCATCATTTGAGTTCGTGACCCGGTCTCTCAGCACTAATGGCTGTTGGAAAAGGGCACGAAAATCTGACTCGCGCAAAGGGGTTTCGCACAGTAAACATCTAATCCACGGTAGATGAATAGGCTGTGTGTCGTCAGTGAGGGCGGTGGTGTAATGGGGTCACTCCCATTACACATGTTGTGTGATTCACATAATTTTGTGTGTGGTCGACAGTTGAATTTTCCTTAATTCTTTTTATCAGAATTGGAGGCACTTATCAGTTTAGAGAAGGTTTCTGGCCCATTGGCCATAGTATATGTCACTTTACCTTTTCCTCTTCGTTTGTATGAATCGACGCCTTGCTGGAAGCGAGTAACACGTGTGAAGCGTTTTAACCGACTCAAGTCTTGCTCATTAAGCTCGTGTATACGGACGAGCAATTCCCGTTACAGGAGGAACTCAGTCAGGGCTCAAAGAGTCACCATGACAGTTCTCATAGAAAAACACCTCAGCAACCGCAACGAGAAGTTTGGTTTGTGCCTCGGTTGCGAGGGAAAAGCGGCATGTTGGTCTTTCTGCATGAGTGTACGGGATGTAACCTGTGGCACAAGCAAGCTCTGAAGGGCAACATGGTAAATGAGAGACGAGTTGAACTCAAGGCAAGGTGGTTGCTCATGGACTGTCAAAGCTGGGCAGGGTTCTAAAATAGCCAAAATAAATTTGAAATCCAGTCTTATTAGGGGTGTGTGTAACGGAACAAGCTCCGTAGTCATGTGCACTTATCCCTTTCACATTTGATACAATTCTACTAAATACAATACGGTAAATTGTACGAAAATTTGGATAGAAAAGCATAGTTACCTGAGAGGTTTTCAGGTATATATTTAGATATATATTACACCTCTATAAACGTTTTATTATATCGAATAATGAAGTTATCCATATTGCTTGACCTCCTTTACGGATTAAAACATCCTTACTCGGACCAGGAATTAGATGCTTTTGAGCTTTGCATAAAAGTAAGATCAATATATGCGTAAACTATGATACGATACGTACCCTGTTACCGTCTGCAACGGAGTGTTGCGTAGGGAAGCTTGGAATCAAGGAGTCGGCGTTAACAAACGCACCGGGGATGAGTTATTGCTCCCCACCAGATGCGGAACAGAGAGCCTCTACCAGAACTTCGTGTCTAATTAGCTCTGCGATTTAAAAGACATAGATTAAGAATTGAATCCACTCAGTCTATTACCAAATATATGTTTCGCTATTTCTTAATTTAATAGTTCGTTCGGCTAGCAGCCAAAATGTTCCTGGACCCCTACTTTTTCAACCTACGTAGTCTTTATAACCAATGGAATTCTAGTCCTCAAAAATTTTCACATATTGAGTCAATTTCAGAAAAGATAGAGATCCCGAAAGTTAAATTAAGCAGCTCTATTGAGCTATATTCGGCGTGTGATATCAACTATGCTGATACTTATTAAAAATGCTGATTACATGGCATTGATCTGCTCGTTCAGAAAGAAATATCGATATGCTGCTGCTGTGCAGAAAGATATCACTTTTATATTTACGTTGGCTAATGCCCAGAAAATGGGTTCGCACGCTCCTTTATAAGATTGCTGAAATAGTATTCGATAAAAATAAATTGCTATCAAATTGCGATATATATCGTCCCTGTTGATTAGCATACATCGGTATTGACGCCATCGTATCCAGTGAATCATAGACTGCTTTCGTTTTCATTCTGCGGAGCATTAGATACAATGGAAGACGCGGTGCACTGGCAGACGAGCGAGCTCGCCTGTGCTATTAAGTATCGACTGCTGGCTGAAAATGTAGCACAAGGATACAAAAATGAATTGGTGGCGCGCGTTAATGTGCCCAGTGCATACGTGGCACCGCTTGTTGATCGCGCATTCGCGCTGCATCCCGCTATGTACACGATTGTACAGGATGAAACCTGTGAAACTTTGAGCCTCATCGTACAAAATTTGCTGTCTTAAGGAAAAAATTGGCTTCTCTGGACACTAACGACTAAACTCATGAATATGTCGCAGTGGGACGAGTACGAGAATCTTGACTGGAAGAATATTCTGGCTGGAAAGGTTGTAGCCAACGCGTATTGCATTCGCAAGGGAATCTCGCGTAAGGCTCAGCTGTCTATTTACTTGGCCAAGTACATCATGAAGAATCCAGCCTGCATGTTGCGTAGATCATTGCCGCGAACCCTTGTCATAGACACATGGGAAGCTTACGATGAGAGCATGTTTCGTTTCGGCATCTCTTTTCGCCAACGTTTAGACTCATGTCTGTGGGAGGTAAAGCAGGCACTTGAGAGCGAGAGCAAGACTTGGATCATGAAGCCTAGTGCCACTAACAAGGGCGCTGAAGTCAACCTGATCAGAGACTTCCAAAAGTTGCGCAGCATCGTGAACGAGTGGACCGACATCCGTGAGTGGGTTGTCCAGGAGTATATTGAGCGTCCGCTGCTTTTGCGTGGCCGCAAATTCCACATTCGTGCGTACGTTCTTGCGGTAGGCGGTATCAAGGTTTATGTATACCAGCACTGCCTTGTGCTCTGCGCTCTTGAACAATATTGCGAGGCTGATATAGACAACAATTTCTCGCACATTACTAACACTTGGTTACAGCAGAGTCATCCGGATTTTGTTGAGAGTGAAAGCGTGTTATTACTTGACGATATTGAAGAAATATTGACTGATCAAGGCATCTTGGATGCTGTAAACATGAAGACTAAAATTCTTGCTGATATTGGCCTTATAACGGCCGAAATGTTCGACGCTTACAAAGGCGAGTTCTCTGTATTCCAGCCCCTACCAAATTGTTTTGAGATATACGGTGTAGACTTCATGGTCGATGAAAAATTTAACGTGTGGCTTCTGGAAATAAATCCCGGCCCAGACTTTAAGCAGACAGGCGACCGTCTTCACTTCGTGATCCGCGATCTCTTGGCTGACACGTTGAGTGTCGTCACCAGTGAATTTTTTTCCGAACAAGAGAGGCGGTCGGTTGAAAGTCATGAGATTGGCGCATATATCAAGGTCTACGATCACCAATGGAGTGTTCTTTCTAAAGGCTCATCCATGAAGTTAGTGGATTAGATTGGTTCTTACTCCTTAGATTGAGAATTTTTGCATTAATTGAATTTACAGCGCCTTCCTCAGTATAAGTCTTGCATTATTAAAGGTATCTATTTGTCGTTGCAGATGAAAAATACAATGCCTTTCGCAGCGGAAGAAAACAAGTTAGTACCAGAAGTCGTTGCCGAAAAAAGGTTTGCGCTTGCTGACGACGACAACAAATTTTGCAACGTAATGGATGACGACTGTGACCCGTTGTCGGCTGCTATGCGCTCATGAAAAAGAGATGAATTCGCTTCTCTGTTTCTCTTTTCTGCTAAATTATTGTGGCTAGAACGTGACATCGTATGCTCTAACCCCCGGCGATTTGAAGGAACGGGAAGCAGCGAGAATCGGGCAACAGGCTCTGCGATTCGCGCTAGTGGCTTTGTAGTTTGAGCTTCAACCGCAACTTCTTTACCATCTAAATGCAACGTATTGACATTGGAAATACAAATCAAACACCTTGCATTAAATTTCACGTAGGGCGATACGTACTTATTTTGTTGATATCATTTGATTCAGACAGCGATGAAAACAACAAACGACTCTTACGAAATTGGAGCACCACATTTTGAATTAGCTGCGGCCCGTAGATTTCCCAATCCACTGGATCGATAAATTCTCGCATACGCTCGAACAAACCTTTCAGCTTGACTAAGCCACAAGAACAATCTTTCTCACTCAGTTCATCACCCCACCCAAAACGAATGAAGTCGGAAGACCCCAGTGTCGCTCGAACAAAGTACATGTCAAACAAAAACTGCTGGATACAGCATTCCCCAAAATTCAACACCGAATTGCTTTGAGTCGCTCTTGCATCAACAAGAAGTGAAACAGCATTATCATAAACGGAAACGCTTACGATAGTTACTTGCTCGACGAATACTTCGTGAATATTGCGATGCATCATCTTAATCTGTTCTTTACTGGCTCCCAAAGAATTTTGAATCATACGATTCGCATCGTCCACGCAATAGCAGCAGGAGAAAAGACAGCTGGACACTGCGGGTGTTTCACACCATGGCAGCCAGATCTTTTCATCACCGATGCTTACATCAGTATCCGACAAAATATCCCCAGAGTCGTCGTCGACAACTTCACTGGCTATAACCTGCTCTGTCCAGCTTTCATGAGTATCAATCCATTTCTAGTAAAGGTAATTTACTTTCAATTTCTGAGCATGTTTCAAGTAGTAAATAAATAAATCAAGCCGTACCTCGTTGGTCAAATTGTACTGTTCCGTCAGCAGAAATTCCCGCAAAGGCTGAATTTTTTGCTTTACAAGAATTGAAGCCCATGTTTGGCAGTATTTTTTAGATAGCCCGTAGAGCACATTCACAAATGATTGCGGGTATAACGCTGAGAGTCTAATCTCAGTAAAAAGGTAAAGAGAGTAAAACCCGACAGCGTCCACCTGGTTGAGCTCTTCATCTATGAAGCAGACAAGCCCCTTTCTGTCTCCGAGAGTATCCTAGAAGAGGCGACAGGATGTATAGTAAATTATTTAAGATCTATCAGTCAAACACAACTTTATCTGACTCACCTCAAAAAAAGCATCAAATTGTGCCTTTTCAACAAAACCATTGCGCGAGTATTTGTCAAAAATGTTGCCAACTATCGAAAGCGAGGGATCTTTGTCGGGTACCAAAACATTATCCGCGCTTCCTGGAAACAGTTGTTTGATCTGAGACTGGAATCCAGCTACAATTCCAGCTAATATGTTGGCAATGCTTAAATACACGCTCGGGAGATATTTGGCACCAATCGCGGCGTTTATATCTTGAGTTTCCACGTGTGAATATTCTTGTTCAAAAAAAAACACTAATTTGAAAAGGGTGCGAAAAAACTCTTCTTTTAGAACGACCTGAAGATCACTTCCATCTAAGTCAGCTGCCTTCTTGTGAATATGATCGAAGTAGTCAAAAAATTCCATATTTCGCAGCCTGCATTCACTTTGAGAAAAACTTGCAGCCGTCGCATCCAAGCTAGCACGAATTTGAAGTTTTATCGCGTCAAGAGCCTTGGCAAAACAGTTCTGAACCAAATCTCGTGTCTGTTTGCGAAACGCTTTAGCAAACAATACTGAGAAAATTGAAGCGGCACCGACACTTGCTTGCTGATCTTTACTGAAATCTTCTATGCCATGAACCCGACTCAAAAAGCTCACATTCTCGTACCCAGCACTATTCATGCTGATAGTGTATAATCTCGACCGGATTTTGGATAGTAGCGAGATAGAGTTGATACTGGAAATAATCGGCAAAGCCAAGTCAAGGATCTGCAAGCAAACAGCAGCTATTAGAAATCACAATGAAGCTAGAATATCATCTGTTTTGCGATACCTGACGACGGTTCCACTGAAACCACGCGTTTAATGCATTTAGAAGTTCCCCCGATAGACAAAATTGCGCCAAATCGTTTTTAAAAATATCTGAAAGCTGTGACATCGTCTGTAATATACCTTTTTCGTTTTCGCTACCAAAGATCTCTTCAGCTTGAGTTATTGTCATGATGATTGATTTTAAGATAACTATCAGCGCACGAATCTCTTTCGTCGACGATTTATGGTGCGCTCTCTTGTCATCGTCTGATTTGTGGGGTAGCATCATCCACTTGTGACGAGAATTAAGATATATTTCAAACAGCTTGCCGGCTGTAATTGGCGAGTCGTTCAGCACGACAAGCGCACACAAATTGTTGGCATAAAAATGGCTCTCCAGACCTCTGCAAGTCAAGTAACTATCAGCACACGATAGCAGCCTCTAAATCCTCAAACAAAACGAATAAAACATCAGAAGAATTTTAAAACTTTTTAATGATCTACTTTTTTAACATGTAATTCACGAACCGGTTTGAAGCTTTGTATGCACGCCCACTGAGCCTGCAAAAAAGGAAATTTTTCTGCTACTTTCCTGTCTGTCATATTACAATACAACTTGATTGCTACTTGATAAAGCATCAGCGATTGCAGTGTTTCTCCTTTGTCCAGTGACTGCCACATCATCTCAGGAACCTCCGCCAGAAACACGGCCTTTTCTTCATTGGTAAATTTTTCCACCAGTTCACTCGGTTGCGACTCCAGAGACGAGATATTCCTGTTTACCTTGTTGCTGCAGGATGGATCCGTAATGGTTAACGCCTCGGCCAAAGTTAGATCCATATGCTTCCACGTATCCGGCATTTCTTTTAGCGAACCTTCAAGACGCAGTGCAGCTGAGTGCATGTTGACAATCTTGTCTGCCGACTCGATGAGATCTCGATATCGCACGCTGATCATCTTTTGCATTTCCTTGGTCTTATTTTCCTTCTCCTTTCTGTTCGCGAAAGAATCAGGTGACGAAAAGAACAAGCGTATTAGCCTTTCCATTCATTAGTGAAATAGAATCACTCCGACGGACCTAGTCCTCTCCAGCAGCACCTTTGCATCCGCAACAGATAGACGGCGCAGGAAGTCGGCTTCACTTTCATCGCTGACCATTATTATTATTGTCAGAAAAAACGTATTCGTACTTATCGGAAGAATACGCAACCTTGCAAAGAAGCGATGTCCACGACGCCTAACAAGATGGCGCTGCACAGGTTGCAGAAAAGGACTAGTCCGGTGTGTGATAGTAGCTTTGAAATTTTGAGTCAGAAGTGAGATAAGACAATCAACATTTGGTAATCGTTCGTACAGGTGCGACTGATAAGCAGTAAAGGTGATACAGCTAATAGCACAGACGATCAAGAGGTGTCAGCTGCACTGGTCTGGCGGGAACGTGAAATATCCGATGCCGTCAATGATAATGGTAGTGTGGTGTTGAAAGTTACACACGCGGTTTCTATGCTAAGGTTGTTGCAACGGGAATTACGAGCAGTGATAGCAAATAATATGCGGCGATATCTACGTGCGACGCGGGCACTTTACGAGCTGCAGTTTCAAATGAAGCGACCGTTAGCCATCTTAAAGATGAAGCCGAATTTGGTGCGTAAGGACTGATGCTGTTCTTAAGCATATTCTAACTATAATTGTTTTTGGTACTTTATCGTTAGTACGCACTGAAAAATTTATCCACATTTGACGCACTACCAGCGCTACTATCGCCACTTAGAGCGCCACAAATATTGGGTAGCTTTTGACCACTGATCTGCGTTTTGTGCGAATTTATCACATGTGCTGACTTTGCAGATGACTGGACGGGGCTTGAGATCGGTCTGTTTGAAGAAGCATACGAACGTTTCGGGAAAGATTTTTATGCAATCGCTGCACTGGTACGGCGCCTTCTGGACACAATCAGTTGTTGTCCTCATCGTTGCTGTACTGCTGTCTTGTGTAGCTTCCCCAGAAATCTCTGAAAGACACAATTGCATTCTACTACATTTGGAAAAAGAATGGATCATTTGCGAGATCTCGAGATGATGGCAATCTGTCGGATGTTTTTTTGCCTGAACCTGAACCAGACATCTCAAGTGGGACACTTAAGCTGATCGATTGCCTTCGAAGTACGTATTATTGCACTTTATTGATAAAATTTATAAACGGCGAAGGACATTTTAGCAAGCGATTTTTACGAATGTTGTATGATTTCGGACATTTCAAACATATTCTCAGAGCGACAGAATTACATGCAAGATTATCTCGATGCTGCTAGAACAATGTACGCACCACAGCCGCTTACGCATGCGTCTAATCGCAAGAGGCAAAAGCTATCAGAGTTTGGCTTACAGAAAGTTGGCTGCTTTCAACGAGGCCTCGTAGGGTTGTCACCGCTGCGCGCTTCATTCGTTCTCGGTGAGTATGCTATTTTGTTTGTGATGCTCTGCTTTAAGCCTCACAACGTTATACAACTAATTTGTGTTATAGATACGTGGACCCCTTTCGAAGTTCGAGTATTTGAGGTAGCAATTGAGTGTTATGGTAAAGATTTCTCACGAATCGCCGAACAAGTAAGTTGAAAAAAGTACATGAAAGCACACTATCTAATGCTCGAGGCTCAATATGAATAAAAATCCGTGCTCCAGATTCACAAGAAGTCTTGCGGTGAGGTTATCGCGTTCTACTACCTTTGGAAATCCGATGTGCATTATCAAGTCGTAAAGCATCGCTTGGGGAAAAAGAGTGAGGGACGTGCAACTAAAAAAACACTTCCTGATACGAAATCGAAATGAGATGTCATACCGATAAATTTGTATCTATCAATAAATTTCGTGAGAAGAATTTTCAGGTGACTCATTTTAAGATCACAAGCACCTGGCTTAGTCGACAGAAATAATTTCTTGCTCAATCATCATGCCTTCATGAGGATAATTTTGAAGCTTCTTGCAAGTAGCGCACACCCATGAAGCAGCAGGGAGCTCCTTCATGCTGATGCAGTACTTGTGAAACATGCGCTGGCACAAATCACACAAGACTAACTCATCCTCGTTTTCCGGATGCGCGCAGACTTCACAATGTTCAGAATCCATCATATACGTACGTGAGCTGTACAGCACAGGCTGCGTAGTTCCAGGCTCCAGCTTGTAGCTCTGCTTGTTTTCAATTAATTTCATGTTGCGATACACCTGAAAGTTGTGCAGTGCGTGCGCTGTATTTTTCAAATCCAGTTTCTGATTCATGAAATATGGAAAGCTCACTTGAAGAGCTTTAAAGCCCTGAAGCTGGCGCTGTTGTAGCAGCTGGGCAAGAGCAACATACTCTGTAGGGCGTGCGCGATTTTTACCAAAGATCTGAACAAGGCTCTTTCTCGCATCAAGACTAAGCCAAACAAAATCGTCCTTGATGAAATTCTCGGGCAACAAGTGCAGTTCCATTAAATCGCACACCACTTGCCAGCAAGTAAATGATCCGAGAATATTGTTTTGGAAATTGCGAAGCGTCTCAAAGATGCCTTCAGAAGTTGTGCACTCCTTTACCGCAACTGTGGTATCATCGATGTTTTTCAAGAAACGCTCCAGTGCCTCCAGATATAATGTGACTGTAAGCTTTCGGTCACCGGCTAAAAGATGTTTGTCATCAATGCGCTTTGCCAGCACTAGCAAACTATAGCACAAAGTTATACGTGAGATACTGAAGAATTAATCCAGTACAGGACAGAATGACAAATAACTACCGCTTTTTGAAGTGAGAAAAACTATCCGAGCTGGGAATTCCCTTGAGCTTGTGAAAAGTTTCCAATTGGTTGCAGAGCCTAAAAACTACTGACATCCAAAGAACCTCGCGCAGACCCAAGCGCCCTTGATGGGACTGTTGCCATCGTAGCACATACTTCCTAAGGTAAGCGGTGCTGCGATCTAGCTCACGGTAAATGTTACAGCTTGCTGAAATCAATACGCAATAATTGTTGAACTCAGTAAATATAAAATCAGAATTTTTCAAAGACTTACCGAACTTGATTAGGCACTGGTCGACACGCGGCACATCGTTGCTGATCGAGTAGCTGTGCCACATGCCATGGCGTTGATATACAAAGTCATAATATGTGAGAGCACCAAGCCACCAGCTCTTGTAACCCCCGCCTTCCGAGCTTTCAAGCAGCTGATCGCTCAAAAATGTGAGCGTACGTCGCTGGCAATTTATCGGCTCCGCTTGTTCACCCTTAGAGTGCTTAAACGTCGTATTTTCGTTAGTATCAGCGTTTCCACGCCGTTTCTTTCGACGAAGAAAAGACTCCTCGCATTCTTTGCTACATACAGAAACGACGGATCCGCGCGAGCTAACGGAATAATTGAGATTGGGGCCGTGGCACACAACGCAATGTTTCGAGTCTGGACTGCATGCTTTACTCGATGGCCTCATTCCCTTTAATTCCAGGTATTTAGCTTCACAGCCCACTGAGCATACAGGTACAGAAGGCGCTTTCTTTGCAGTATTAGTGGACATGAACTCGGGGTTCGGTATTTGGCAGATGAAGCACTTCGCAAGGTCCACATTCGACGATCTAGCCACGGCAACCTCGGTCGATCCCGAAATATCATCATCCTCACCGTTGGTGGCGTGGGCACTGCGGCAAAAGCTTTGGCTAGTGTTGAACCAGCAGCTCAACTGAAAGTCATCACCAAGGTGGATCATTCTACAACAAATCAGTTTATCGGACTTTGACTGCGTACTTAACACTGTATTTAATTAAGTACGACACAGAAACTGCAAAAGACTTTTCCAAGGCATTTGCCACCAACTTTCCCGCATTCAACAGGTGCAAGGGGCTAGATTCAATAAGCTTCTGAGCATCAACATGTTCACACTGTTCATACTCTTAGCTTGGTTTTTAGAATTTGCTCGAGCTTCACAATGTCAGCGCTGAATCCGCGAATGCCCTCAGCAAGTTTCTCCGTAGCCATGGCATCCTCATTCATACTCAAACGAAATTCTTTCTCGTCAAATGAAAGTTTTTCAATTGAGCATGCCTTCGCAGCAGTCTCAGGATCAAGTTTCTTTGTCAACGCCTCCGTGGACTCCGCCAGCTCCTCCAAGAGTGCAGGGGATATGGTCAAGCGATCACATCCGGCCAGCTCGGTGATCTCACCGGTATTACGAAAGCTGGCTCCCATGACAATAGTCTGGTAGTTGTACTTCTTATAGTACTGGTAAATGCTGGTCACGGAGACGACTCCAGGGTCCTCATGCGGCTCGTAGCTTGACTTTCCAATCTTGGCCTTATGCCAGTCGAGAATGCGGCCCACAAAGGGCGAAATGAGGGTGGCACCAGCTTCAGCACACCCCACAGCTTGGGCAAAACCAAAAAGCAACGTCATGTTGCAGGAAATGCCCTCCTTCTGCAGGTGTTTGCAAGCCTGGATGCCTTCCCAAGTTGAGGCAATTTTGATAAGAATACGATCTTTTTGGATGCCAGCCTTCTCATAAAGCTCGATAATGCGGTGAGCACGAGCAATCGTGTTCTTCGTATCGAAACTGAGGCGGGCGTCCACTTCGGTTGAGACGTAGCCAGGTACGACCTTAAGAATTTCCAAGCCAAAGTTCACCGATAGCTTGTCGATCACGTAGCCTAAGCGCTCCTTCTCCGTTAGATCAGCCGATAATCCCTTACCGTATGCGACGGCATCATCCACGAGGGCCGAGTACTGCTCCATTTGAGCAGCCTTGTACAATAACGAGGGATTGGTGGTGGCATCCTGCGGCTTAAATTTGTTGATTTGCCCGAAGTCACCCGTATCAGCCACCACTGTTGTAAATTGCTTAAGTCGGTCCAATTGCGAGGGTTCTCGAAGTTTCTTGTTCGGGGAGGCGTCCATCTTTGGTCCGCAGCTGAGCAGTAAAGTCGTCCCGGGTGATTTTTTCAACGCGCAGATTCGAAAATGGTAGCCGTATTTTACACACGGAAACCCTCTTTAATGAAATCTGAAAAAGATATCGATTTGCTGATAATGCTGCTATTGCTATCATTTCATTTTTTTCATTTAAAAAAAACAACTTTTTCAATAAATTGGACTCTTTCACCACCTTTTGCCTTCACTTTGCTAGCTTGATGGGTTTACTCATCATCTTAGCGGCTTGCTAGTTCACGTACACGAATTGATACTGATCAAGAAAACCTGCATAAATTCGCCCATCACACCACCTCAAAGCTCAAATGTACTGATTTCCTTGCAGGGATGACTGACATACACGCTGTAGTTGCATCGGGTTCCGGGCTTTTTCGCATTCGTAAATTCAACTCTAAGAATCGGCGTCGGTATACGTGAGAAGATAGCGTTTGTACGCCGTAATCAAAAGCGGATCAGAAAACTTCTTCTTTAATTAGGTGTTTAGTCAGCTTTGCTATCTATCTCAACAGTACATGCATTTAGCAAAATGATATTTTTAAGACTAATACTCCGATGCTCAAGTCAGTCCAGCACAGTCAGCTCATGAGATGTGTGGTCTATTTGATTCCATTTTTGATCTCCGACATAGTAATTACAGTGCCATGATTTTGTTCCAGAGCTTACAATAAAAGAAGTAAAACAATTTCGCACGGTGGATTTGCGTGATTTTGCGTATCCTGATGGTCAAAACGCAATGCCTCGAATACGCTCAACGTATCGAGACATTCACATTTCTTCTCTCGTAAGCTCGCGTGCAATTGCGACGGTAAGGCTCGGTCAAGAAATCAGTCAATTGTAACGTTGTAAACGTTCATGATTATGGTTGTAGCTTAGTCCTCGTCATCCGAGATACCAATGATGAAGTGAGTGAAAAGTGGAAAAAAAAGTTGTCACAGCGTTTATCAGATGCGTGAAAAACATGTATATATTCATTGTCCGGCTGTCTAGCAAGAACATCAGAAATTCTTAACAATTCAGTAATCGATTATCATAGGCTTTTTGAGTAAGGTCTGCAGCTTTGCCAAAGCGAGGCTGACGACAACAAAAGGCATACGCCGAATCTCTCTTTGAAGTGCGGAGATGTCGTGTTCGGACCCAAAGCAGTGCCTTCCCAAGTTAGAAACGTGAATGCCGTATTCACTAGCGCAGTGAGTCTTTTGTATTGATCATGGTCTCTTGGAGTGCAACTAAATCGTTTTGAGATAAGTCGCTTATACTTGAGGGTTTGGCTGGACTTTGCCTATTCATGTTCAGCAAAAATTCATTGGAGGTCCAAGCCGCTTTGGAGGTGAGGGCTCACCAATCATTATGACACTTTTGCGAAGATCCTAGCAAGCCGTTAAGTACGTCAACCACATATGGTGGCGTGCATCTGTCGTTGATATAGCTTCTGTCGGGATGAAGCAGAACATACATTGTAAGGTCACGCTAGATCAGATACGGGATTGGCGATGTATCGTAATGGTCCTTATGGTAGAAGCAGTACTTAATTTCCATTGGATTGATATACATACCTGGCGCAATTCACAGGAACATAGTACCGATGAAACTATGCCCAAGTGCGGCTTAAAGTTTGTTACTTGAAAACATAGCTTACAGCATTGATAAAGCCTATGACATAGCGCCCCCGCAAACAACCTTGGAAATATGAAAATTTTGCCTTGATTGGCCCCGCAATGATTGCACGGTACACAGCAGACCGGTTAGTAGCGGGACGTCGGTTCGACGAACCTTTAAGCGCCTTGCGCAGGGGCAACCAGTCCGAAGGTGAAGGGTGTCTCTACAGACTAAACACCGTTGGGTGTTTGCCCGCTGGTCGGCAGCTCTCGGTAGCTCGGAACTTTCCTTCCTATTTCTCAGCATAGCTGAGATATATTGGCTCAGGCCCGCTCGACGAGCTGCTGGAGTGTGCATTAAAAAAAAGTCGTGCCGACTTAAAGTTGAATTCGGCATTCAATGCCGCATTCACCGCTCCGTCAAAGTAGGTGGATGCACACGGAAAGCTTTTATCCCGGCCATGCCAGTGCGGAGGCACTTCAGAAAGACGGTCACTGTGACCGCTTCAGGATGAGGATCGGCTGCCATACCGGCAATGAGAATACGCAACTCTTGGAAAAAGTTCCTCGATTCCTTTTTGCCTTGTCGGGTGGCAAAAAAACGCGTAATCGCACGCGATATGACTGGTTAGGAGGCGGAAACATTCGTTAAAGCAGCAGCTTAAGTTCCGTCCAAGATGAAAACGCCGGTTCATATTTAGCATCGCACGGGAGGGCCCATTCTCGCGCTCGACCACCGAGCTTGGAGATAGCTGGCGCTATGCGCTGTTTGCTCGGTCTGGAGCATGGCGAACGCCATAGCCATCTCGGCCTCTCTCACCCAGAGCAGGAGATTCTCTTCATCCTCACCCTCAAACGTCTTAATGATCACCATGAGTGGCCTGTGTCGAGAGGAGTCATCCGCCGTCGACGTTGGCGTCATGGACGCACTCGAAGCCGACATCTTCTGCAGTAGGTGCTCTAGCAGATCATTTTACAGAGTTCGAAAACGCCTCTAGGCGCGCGCCGATCGCTTCAGGTCCTTGCGATTGCATGCTTTCAGAACCAAGCAGAGACATCAGCTTCAAGCCCGTCCTGCATGCACTGGGGCAAAAAGAAGAACTTTTCCATCCTCACAGAGGATGAGTCGTAACGACTCTATTGTAGATTGATTGCAAGTGCTACCAAGTGCTGCGGACCTGCCGTCAAACTTTGCTCAGAGGAAGCAGATCGCAATCCGCTACCTCTAAGAGTACCCAAAAACTATCCCAAGGCAAATGTACTCTTCGTTCAAAATTGAAACTGCATTTATCTGTTTCATTTGCGACAAAGCCGCCCATATTTAAGTGTTTAGGTTTTAAAAATTGAATGCTAAAACATAATCAATATGCATAAATAGTGGTAGTCCCACCACGTAGAGGTTTTTTGTTACGGTGTAGCCACACCATTGTGTGATTACACCGTCTTGTGCAATCCACACCTACACAAGATGGTGTGACCCACCCTTTCGCACCAGGGTACGTGCTCCCCGTTACAATATACTTTATATACAACAAAGCTAGAACCCCAATAATCGACTTATTTTGATCATGGAATTTAACCGTATAAACGATGTTGATTAGCATTATCAAACCTTCGCAAGGAGAGAATAAGTACAAAATTGCGCAATCTGGGACACTTTGTCCGACCCGCATATAGACACGGAGAGTATCCAGCACAATTTTGCGGCTCAACTTAATCTCCTTCAATTGACCGAAATATGGGCCGGCTTGTTTTACTCATATTGAATGTGCTAATCACGGATGAAGCTTCGAATACAAACTGGTTGCCGACATGGCTAATCGTGGTGTTTCAAAAATATTTAAGACAAAGCCATGAGCACCGCTACGAAGGTGTCGAGCTAACAAGCTGGCTTTACTTCAACAATGGATGCATGGCACTTTGAATGCCGTGAAGATCGCCATGCACTTCCAGTAATCGCAGATCTCTTATTCGTCTGCATCACACAGAGTTGGGGTAAAATATTGGCTTCAGTAGAAAATAAAGCCGTAATAAGCAGTACATGTATAAATGGATGCCCGAAAGTTGACAATACCAGAAATCGGTTTGGGCTTGCTGAGCTTTACCACAACATTGGGTAGCCTATTCTCCAGCATTTGTGAGATATCACTATTGATAAGTCAAAGATTGTACAATGTGACTTTACAATTCGACAACAAATCAGTATGGAAATTATGTATTTTATGCAAATGTCAGAGTTGTGTGCTACTATAAACTCCGCGCATTATGGCTCCATCGAAACAATCGATTTTTTTTAACACATTTGTTTTGACTCGCGATATTTTGTACGTCAATACGCCTTATTATACGTCACATTACTGTAGACTATACATGTAACTTCATCGTCAACGGTTTTTAATCTATATTTGAGGTAATATAGTCAGCAGTGGTGTCGAGGACAAGTTCACCTGCGTTTCTTCCGTATGACATCCGATGCAGCTGCTAGCAAGGTCAGACCAAAATCTGACAAGTGAAATGAAGAATGAGCAAGCTCGAATCCACATTGGGAAAGGTGATTTTCGGGAGTCAAATCCTCTCCTGTATTATAATGGGCTTCAGTAGCTATTACAGCAGCTACATCTGTGTACCTTCCGGATGCATTGTGGGAATTGGTATAATGAAGGATTATAGTATGGTGTTTTGTAGTGCACAGATGACATCGCGTATGAAGTCACAGCCATTATGCCACACAAAATGCTGGTGGCTACGTAGTGACTTGTACTGGTCACGAGACCGACATGTCTCTCTTTTTCGAAGTGGGTGGCGTAAGCCTGTCACGTCTACTGGATACTTTCCACGAAAGTTGATGTTCCAGCTTATCGATGTTCAAGCAACATATGATCTGAAAGGCTCGAACTGAGGTTAAACCTCAGGACACCGTTGATATCATACATCAGGAACCCAAAGTTTTATTGGTAAAACCGTTAAGAACCCGTGAGATGCTTTGCAGATAGGTCGGAATTGCTAACTCATTTTAATTCGGATCAGATTTGATACCAAGGCCTTAAATTGTTCGTTTACCCTCCGAGTCGTTACTGTCTACTTCGGGAATTGCTTCCTCGTCGCACAAGCGTAGTGTTTGAGGGGCTGATGTGAACAGCCTCTTCCTTTCATGTTCTCACCGACTGCGCTACTAGTCGGCTTCTGACAGAGGTTCTCCCCGCTGTATCGCATCCACATTTTGCGCCGATCTCTAAAACAGCTTCGAGCAACCCGCTCTATTCAACAACAGGTCAAAGATTTCATGCTAGACAAGGTAATACATGCACGACTGTCTGATGTCCTGAAGTCGGATACAACATGACATCCTACACGTAAGTTATCTGTGGTCTGTAATCTATTTACTTTCTGACCATTAAACGCAACACTTGCAAACTATTTCGCTGGCAAAGCACACGCTTTGTCTTCAGAAGCTCTCAGGCGACCTTCATAGAGGCTGCATGCGTTATCCCCTCCACGCCTCGACACGATATTGACAGATATGAAGTTTATGTTAAGCGCTATCAACTGATTGCACGGCAAATTTGGAATAACACGTTCTAGTGTACTAACCTCACGTCAAACACTGAACAAGATGATCAAATTTCATAACTAGGTCTATAAGGTATCAACACAAGTGCAAAATACTTAAAATCTACGAAAAAGCTCGAGAAACCAAGTTTAACTCGTATCCACAGCTTCCCACGAGTGACATGTGCAAGTCACTCGCCTGACTACAAACCTACTCACAAACAGGCACAAACCAAGACAAAAAAGCACCAACAAGACCTCTTGGTCATACTTCTAGTTCTATACATCACACAAGCTCAAAACATGACCATTAGGTTACGCTATTACTATCACACTTTGCACAAGTGTGATTTACGATCTTTCAGCATTACCGACACCAACTTGATCTTAACATGAAACCGGTATATCGATAAAAATCGAGTGCAAGTTTGGCATCCGATCTCATGTACTTGCAGTCTTCAACTAATCATTACATAAGGCTATCATTCGGTTCAACACTAGACTTTCAAGCTATCCGCACAACTGCAAAAACCCAAACCTATTGTTCAATTCCAATGTATAAGCATTAATTAGCACCCCAGAAGTTGGCATCACCAGAGAGATTCACACACTGAGACCTCAATTCGCAACTTCGGCAAATCAACGGTTGAGCGTGACAAAAGTGCAACAGTGAGGTGCCAATGCTTTCAGACTTGAAATAGATTTTTCTTAGTACCGCATCTTGGTCCATTATTCATCGTTATTATCTCAGCCAGCAAGCGTTGAATCACATAACGTTATGCTTCCACTATTAATCTCACACCTTCGGCCTATATAATTACAAAAGTTTTTGTGTCCACCTCTCACAAATTAATTTCGCTGCCAGTTTTGGATTCCAAAAAAATGAAAAACGTTCAAGCAATTTGAGTGTTTGACTGAGTCATACATAAGTTGGTTGATGACTTTTATCTTATCTGCAAAAACTATTGAAATATCAAGTCTGTTTAACAGCAAACAAAATCTACGTCGCATGGTGTTTTTAACAAAATGTGGTAGTTTACGAGCGAGTTTGCCGAGCGGCCCAAGCTGCTGTGTGGTAACTTAAGGCTTAAGTGATAGCACAGACCGTGGGTCAATTTACGCCATATCGCATTTACTATCTCAATGATATTCTAGCCTTTTATGGAAACCCGGCAAATGTTGAAGTGACCTTTTCATACATGCCGAAGAAGACGAAACCACCGATGCTAATCCACATAGTGCGGGGACCGACGCCCGAGAATAAGCGCTTCAAGCCTTCATCTGTATGCACACGCGACAGGGTATTGAGCATACCATTGTATGGAACGCCCTTGGCATCTTTCCCTAACATCAAACGCGTCTTCACTACATCGAGCGGGGTGGTGATAAATGCCGCCATACCACCAGCAATTGATCCACAGACCGCACCCTGCAGTGAAGATACAGTGGTGTTTTGCCTTTTTGACCACTGGTACTGATAAAAGCTCTGTAAGAATATAAAGAGGCACACACATAGCCTACACTAGTGTACCTTTAAACCCTCCCAAAGTGGAAACTGGATGAAAGAAAATGGAATTTCTCGCGCAATCATACTCCAGTAGCCTCTGTAAAACCCTGCGACACCGTCAGCTGCACAAATGACGTTTAGTGCCCTCGGAAGCGATCCATATATGCCAGTCTGCATTTTTTGTTTTACAACTTCGGTCGGAGTGCGCACCAAACATGCCGCCTGAGCACAGAAACGACAATAGGATCGATATAAGGACTGTGTGCTGAATCACTACTTGCCCTCTATGTCACCATTTCACCCAATGCAGCAGCGACCATATGAACAAGCGGAGAATTCTTTTGATCTGGAGTAATTACGCTGAAGAGGGACTTGGAAGTCTCATAAGTGCTAAAAAAGAGCGCTCCTGGATTGAGACACCACGAGTTATATGTCATATAACAATTACAGCACCACAATACGATTACGTGTCATATACCTCCAGGAGCAGATCCAGCAGCAGCAGCAGAGAGCCCCGAGTAAATGCCTCGAAAACCACCAGCTTTGAGAAAACCGTGAGCAGATTGTAGCCGCGTCTTAATGGTGTCGAGTGGGAAAAGCGCAATGTCCACGGAAGTGCCTGCCACAGCTCCGCCCTACATATGCCAAAGTAATCAATACACTAAAACAGTTTTCTATCCATCACTTTAACAAATATATACCAGCAGTGCCGGGAAATATCCATGTACTATTGGTCCATCGTCAGCGTTGACCATTTGGATGCAGATGTACTAAAATTATGTGTACCATACACAACGAGTGATTGATACGCAGTAAAATTTGTTAACATCGATGGGGATCGTAGATCGTATCAAAGAAATTGGTGCGTTCATTCATTAAGCCGTGATTTTTAAGTTATATTCGTTTTGAGGCACCACCCTAGTAGCATTACATCAGGACTTGTGAAGCAATTTAACACCAGACATATGTGATTCAACACGTGGATAGAGGATGAAATGAAACGGACGCAGATAAACAAAGCAACAGAGGGCCATCTTGGCCGTCTAAAGGCTAAGCTCGCTAAGCTTCGTACAGAAGTGCGTTTTAATTACGTAGTAGCCTCATAGTCAGCTAATTCAGAAGTTATTTACAGCTTCTCGAAGAAGGAAAGACGAGTGGTGGCGGAGGTGAAGGTAAAATTTTCAACTATCTCAATACAAACTGCTATCTAATGCATCAATCGCTACGTTCTAAAAGGCTTTGATGTGGCCAAAAGTGGTGACGGACGAGTTGCGTTGATCGGGTTTCCTAGTGTGGGGAAGTCGACGATGCTGAGGCGTGTCTTGATACTTAGAAAACAATCTAAAGAATCAATAATTGACGCGTACCTGTTATATATGTATCAGCCAACTGACAGAGACGCAGTCGGAGACAAACGCTGTTGAGTTCACAACCCTTACTTGTATTCCAGGGAATTTAATGTATAACGACGTCCGTATTCAAGTAAGATGCTACAGCGGCTAGCCTTATTATCGTTATAGCTCAGTTATCATGGCTGTTGGTACGTAGTTACTCGATTTACCAGGTATTATTGAGGGTGCTGCACATGGACGTGGTCGAGGACGAGAGGTCATTGCTGTAGCCAAGTCGGCTGATATGATTTTGATGGTGTTGGATGCTGGTCGAGAGGCAGGAAACCGTCATCGTGAAATCCTCGAAAATGAATTAGAGACTGTAGGACTGCGTCTTAACCGACAGCCGCCCGACATTTACTTTCGAAAGAAGAATGGCGGTGGCATTACTTTTAACAGCACCATTCGTCTTACTAAGGTTTCCAATCCATTTGTTATAAAAGTGCTTACAGTAACTATTAATTAACTTGACAATTACTGTTATACCCAAGCTTGGTGATGATCCGTATCAAACGGTGTACAAGATCTTGCACGAATACAAAATTCACAATTGTGAAGTGTTGTTCCGTGAGGATTGCACGACAGATGATCTGATCGATGTGATAGAAGGCAATCGAAAATATGTAAAGTGTTTATACGTGTACAACAAGATCGACGTGGTGTCGATCGAAGATGTGGACCGACTCGCGCGTATGCCAAACTCGACTGTAATTGCTTGTGCCCACAGTGATCGCCCTGCGGTGAGTCATCTATTTGTAGTGCATTCATTTTTTCTGACATTCAGTCAACGCCTTTACTATCCATCATGACTTAGCTGAACTTTGATACACTTTTGGCTAAGATGTGGGACTACATGGGACTGACGCGCGTGTACACCAAACGTCGAGGAGAAGTATGATTCGCCTTCATCTTGTTTGCTGTGTGATTGTATTCACAGAAAATATCTGCAGGCTCCTCAGTTTGATGAACCGGTCGTTCTGGGATCGGAGCGAAAAGGTGTCAGTGTTCATTCTGCGTGCATGTCGGTACGTATTCTGCAATAAACGATCCGACTTCACGCCACTGCCATGTGCAATGTGTATTTGTAGATCTCGAAAGATATGCTGGACAATTTTAACTACGCTTTGGTCTGGGGAACGAGCACGAAGTACAACCCACAACGTGTTGGCAAGGAGCACATGCTTCACGATGAGGACGTCTTACAAGTTATCGTGAAAACGGCTAACCAGCAAAAGCGTGACAAAAATTACAATCAAAAAGTGCAGGCGTACTTTGACAAGTACAAAAAGAAGAAGAAAGCTCTTAAAACCTAAGATTTGGCGTGATCACAGATATGGTTGCGAGATGTACGACAAAACAAGCAAAAGTAAACTCTATTGTTCGCTCAAGTATCAGCCACTTTGCGTGTAGTCCGCAAACACGTTGTGTTCTTCATGCTGCGTAGTAAATCCATACAACTTTTTAAGACGCTTCGTTATTCGCTTGAAAGTTCTGAAAGCAATATTTTGTTAACACGTAGTCGATATTGAAATAACTGCGTGTACCTAGAGTGTCACTCACGCTTGTTGCATAAGTGGGCATTGAGCAATGTCACCACTCGATCTACCCATGGTTTTTCTCCAATGCTCAAGAACAAATCTCCAATTCGCAATGGGCTTTTTTTTTGTCGGTAGAGAAGACCTACAGATAACGAGCAGAACACATAAATTAAATCCTTCTCATGTTGGCTGAAAACTTCAATTGTACTACGATTCCAACCAACAACGATTGTCGTATGACAAGTCATAGTCCTCTGATCCTTGCAGCGCTTTCCCATTTGCAGTGAGCAAGGATTCGATAAAGTGGTCACCAAATTTGCATCCAACTCGGGTTGCATTCAATAGCGTAGCTGCGGAGATCGTGCACTCTGTTTTACTCTCACTATTCTTAGCTCGTTTTCGCTTACATGATACGCGTTGTAGAGCTTTGGCAGAAAGGGCTACCAAAGGACATGGAACTTGAGCCAACGGACATTCTTTAAGCATTCCATGCTCCCTATGGTCTGGCCTTGGCTGCAAAATTTCTGTCAGGACTTCATGATCCTCCAGAATTTGAGATACGTCCTGCAAACAACTGCAAAGAAGTCACTTGTCTTACTAGGCAATCGGAAGCATATGATGCTAGATAGCCTACTCAGAATTGCGCAAATTTCTCACATGTTGGGGCCATCGGAATTTCCTGACAAAAGTGCAATTTCCATAAAATGTTTTAACGGTGGTCATCGAAGGCAGCATGCTTACCGGGCATACTCATCCAGGTGTGTCGTAGCATATTCGAGGGGAGGTCCAGAAAGCTTAATTCCTCGACGAATTGCTGTTTCTTCAATGAGGGAGACGCGCGAAGTGATGTTTCGCAGCACATACTTTGCTTGCGTAACATCTGCAGTTCCAACTTCTTCGTCGTTTTCAACCTCAGTTAACAAACTCGCTGTTTCCCAATCATTTTCATGCCACTCGTCATCCCTGTTCTCAACAGTTCCATCTCTTCTCCGCGTCTTGGGAGTTCTCTTTTTTTTCTGATCTTGCAACCATCCCTTCTTGTCTGTGTTTAATCTACGAATGTTTTCTCTGAAGCTTTCACCTGCTATCAATTTCACTTCATCTGGATCCTGCACCATTTCATTCGTCTCTAGTACCGTTTGGATGTCATTAAATTTGATGACTTCGCTAATATCACTCCGCGGCGAACTCATTTGCTTCAAATAATTGCGGCTTTTGAGCCCACTCTGTTTCAGTTTTGCATGAGCAATCGTTTCCAGTATTGTTTTATTCTCTCTTGTCTCGATTTTCTTTATTGTTGATAAACACTGATTTTCATGTTGCAATTCCTCCTCTGCCACACTCTTCTTCACATTACCTTCATGTTCCCAGGCTTTCAAGTCTCTCGCGCTGCATCGAAACTCTCTGAGCGTCTGCCTTAGTGGCTTCTTTTTGGTATTGCTAACTTCCTCACTGCTGGCATCCGATGAGCTGCCTTTAATATTTGCTTGGACCGCCTTTTTGCGCTCCGTCATCTCCATTCCTTTGCCGCTTAATTTGTTCGAGCTCAAGTCACTACTGTATGCTACCTCGCCGAGAGATTTAAACGGTCCACTAAATTGTTGCGTGCGTCACACTAAATGGTGGGGGTTTCGCTTCTTTTTGTGTAATTTCGTCCACTTCTCGATTTGCAGCCTCGCTTGCACCACGAGCTGAGATCACCCCAATAGTAGTCTCCTCCACTGTACGCAATGGACGACTCTGAAGCTCTCCCGACCCCGACAGATGTCGCGATGGTCGACATCGCTTCACCTGAGGTGGCTGCAATGCCCCTTGAGCAACCTGTTCTTCTTGAACCCGGTGAGCTGCGCCTGAATACGGACAACGAACAACGTGCTTCGGTACCTGACTCTCAGCCAACTATGGAGACCACCGCTGACGCTGCTACTGCAGATGATGTGGTGACGGTTTCTGGAACCGAAGCTCCAAGCTCTCCGTCTCCGAATCGTCGTCTGTCTTTCCGCAGTGCGGTGACTGGCGCCCAGGACCCAGGTGCGTCTCCA